TCCCCTCCCTCTCTCTCCACTTTTCTTTGTCAGCCTGTTCATGAGTTTATTTTAATTTGTCTAATTTGATAGATAGATAGATAGATAGATAGATAGATAGATAGATAGATAGATAGATAGATAGATAGATAGATAGTTTATGGATGGATGAACAGACAGATAGACAGACATACAGACACAGTCACACAAACATACAAACAGACAGACAGATAGACTAACAGACAGACACACAGACACAGTCACACAAACATACAGACAGATAGACAAACAGACAGACACACACACACACAGACACACAGACAGACAGACTACAATATTTAGGAAAATGCGTGTTTTGTCTGTGCAATGCCCAATTACAGAACTTACAAAAAGACACTACCTGTGAACAAACATGTATTTCGCAAATTCTCTTTCGCAACCACGCTTGCAGCATCATCTTCCCCCAAATCGTATCACTCTGACCCCGAAAAACCCCCCAACTTTCTTACAACTTTTATTTCTTCCTTTCTTTCTCTGTGAGTCGAAATTCCCGGCTTGTGGATGAACCAAATTATACATACATTCTTATTGATCGCCAATCAATAGAACTCCGCCATATTTATGCTGCTCTCTTGCGCAGATGTGGGTCACGATTCCAAAAACTGATCGCTCGATGAACTTGGAGGTTGAAAGTGGGGAATTTTGAGCACGCAGAAAGTGCTAGCCTGCTAGATAATGAGGTCACGTGTTTAAATATGTAGGTGAGGTATTGTGGTGAAATGAAGCGCTCGTCAAAATAATGAAAGTCAAGAAACTGACTCTTTTTCGCTGGTTTGGCAATTTTCATCAAAATTTTTGTTTTGGGGCTCAACACCTTTTAAGTTCATTTTTAAAACTCATTTCAATTTGAATTTTACTGGGAAAAAAGCGTTGAATAAAGGCATAAAAGATCTAAATTTTCAGTTTCTACGGACTCTCAAGCTAAAGAAATAACTTAACTTCGGCGGCCATTTTCTCGCTAATTTCACTTCTAAAACAAGGCGACCCCGACCTCCTTCAGTTGCCAATATCTTGACTTGTATCCAACATAAATGGACATTTTTTCCACCAAAAGCAAGGCAAATGGACAGGTTTTAAGATGATACCAATAACTCCATATACTCCAAAATTGATAGCGCCTGATTCCACCGCGTCGTGACAAATATTATGAAGACTGTTATATTATAAAATATTGAGCGCGTTAGAGTGTGAGTATGTAGCTAGCCTGCTGGGTGGGCAGGATCGAGAGGGCGAAAAAAACAACGTGTCGGAACCGAGGCTCGAACCCGGACTTTCTGCTTAGGAGACGAGCGCACTAACCGCTCCGCCACCGCACCCTCAAGGTGGCGGAATGGTTAGTGCACTCGTTTCCGAAACGGAAAGTCCGGGTTCGAGCCTCGGTTCGGGCACGGATTTTTTTCGTCCCATCCTGCCCACCCAGCAGTAATGGGTACCCGACTTCGAGTTGGGGAAGTAAAGACGACGTGTAAAGGAACTGACCACCCTACCGCATTATATTGAAGGCCCAGGAAGTTGTCTCACTAACAAGGCAATCGCCAATGTCGGGATCGGATTCAGGAACAACTTTACTTACTTTTACTCTTGCTACAAGTGGAGGTCCATGATCGCACACGCCAGTCGGCAAGGCACCGGATGATGATGATGATGATGATGATGATGATGATGACTCATGCTACATTACAACTGAGCGGTTACTCTTGTGCACCACTATCGGTAACAATAAATCAAGCACTTCATTCATTGGACAACGTAGAAGGTATGATATAGTCGCTTTTAAGCACAAGGGGGCTATCCCGAAAAGCACTGTTTTAAGAATATCAAAGGTAAAGTTTTCTCTATAACCAAACAAATATACACACCAATGAAACCAAACTTCTCATATAGACCTTTAGGTAGATCAAAGCACACATTTGGTGTAGGTCAAGATTTCTGGGAACCCCCGAAATCTGGGTTAGCCCGCTGGTCCTTAAAAGCGACCATGATATAATACCCAGAAAGGGGGAGAATAGAGTCGAAGATTTTAAAGACTGGTTTCGCAGTTCATTAAAATCAACCCAAGGGCGTACGATGCATCAAAGGGAGACAAGTCATTGGAATCAGTTTGCCGGAATAATCTTGTGTTGTTTCCCTTGCGAGTCATGAAAGGTAAAATCAAGAAGCTTTAAGGTGCTTTACACGCGCTGTTGTCGACACACTCTTGAGCATTTAGTTTCAGTTCCAGATTTTCTTTCTTTTCTGCCGTACTGACAGGACAGAAAATTGTTTGGAACTGGAACTGATGTGGGTCCCGTGCATGCCCCCCCCTCCTCTCTCTCTCTCTCT